AATGCAATTATGTGAATATTATTTATTTATTTATTAGTAGAAGATCAAATGTGATCAAAGTTTTGGGATATCATTCTTTCTTATTTTCAAAAAAAAAAAAAAAGAAAAAAAAAAAAAAAAAGGGATATCATTTCTCTTCCTTATTTTCAAAAAAAAAAAAAAAAAAGAAAAAAAAAAAAAAAAAGGAAAGACGATTATCCCATGACTATTTTTTTAATGTGGCCGTTTTTTTGGGTTTTCAGTTGACTGATTATATTGTCTCTTTTTTCCATGGCCATATTTATTATACTCTTACACCTTTTTCTTATCAATGGGGTAAAATTTATTTTGTCCCCTCTGTGGTTTTAATTTTATTATTATTTTTTTCCGGTAATTCAATTAATTAAAAATTTAAGGTAAACAGTATCAATTAAAAAATCTTTGATGCCTATTCAGCAAAAAAAAAAAAAAAAAAAAAAAACTATCTACATATTGTGCTAGAAGACAGTTGACAATGCATGCTGAACATATAGAAAGAACTTTTGGATTCGAATCCTACTAAACGCATCTACAGAGAGGGGTGGGGAGCCTTAACTGTAATTAAATCCCAAGCCGGATTAAATAGTCCTTGATAATAAAATCCGGATACCGGTAGTTTATAAATAAAAAAAGCCTATCAAATCTATTATTTTTCTTTCTTTTTATTTATTTATTTATTTATTATGAAGTTTAATAGATTAAAATAATATTACAGAGTATATAATATGATAGCGTTCTTAATTTGCCATAATATAAAAATTTTATAATAACACTGATCAGATCACATTTGATTAATTTTTTTATGAAATTAAATTAATTTTTAAAGATATGCTTAAATTTAAAAATATTATTTTTATAAATATTTCTTTCATAATATAGAATCCAATTTCTTTTCATAATATGAATCCACAATATATAATTAACCAAAATAAGAAATCTCAATTCCTTTACGATAAACTAATACATTGGATCCATTTAAAGCCCTTTCAATCATAACCCTATTGTGTAATATGCAGTACTGACTTGGACCCACAGCTTTTCCCTTCGTCAAGCACGTGATTAAGATTCGAAGGTATACAGTATAAATGACAAATGCATAAGTTATCTGAGGTCTTTATTGTAAAATTTTATATATATTAAATACTTTCAATGTGTAGAAATTACTTTTATTAAGCAATTCAACATGTAAAATTATTTATTAAATATTTATCAAATAATTAAAAAAAAACAAAACAATTGTTGAATAATTTGTTTTAAAAGTATTAACAAAATGGATTATACTTTAATCAAGCATGAACATTTAGAGTTAATGGCTCAATAGTAGTAGGATGAGCTCTGAATTTTGACACCATGATAATAAAATAGACCGGGTTTAACTCACTCTCTAAAAATTAGTTCAAAAGAAAAATAATTGTCTAGTCTATTATTGTAATTAAATACCTTATTCTAAATCAACATATAATAATAATAATAATAATAATAATAATTAATAATAATAATAATAATATAATAATAATAATAGTAAGATGCGCAAAACAATTACTTATTTAATATATATCTAATTTATATAAATAGATAAAAAGTTTAAGGTAACAACAAAAATTTTGTGGCAAGCAATTTTAGAGGTATTAAGATGCTTTATATGGCAAAATGGGATAGCCTATACATTAAGTTGGAAATAATTGTTTTATATTTTTTAAAAATTATTTTAAATATAATTAATTAGAGGTTGTTAATTAATAACATTTAATTAATAGAGTTGTTAATTAATACCATTGATAATATTTTCAGTTTTTAAATAAATAATTAAATTAATAATTTCATTAATATTTTAAAAACTTTTTACTTCTTTTTCTAAAATAATTAACAAAATTATTAATATTTATTCTCTATATTTTTCTTTTTCCACTATTGCAGAATTTGTATATATATCTATTTCAATATAAATGAAACCTTAAAGAAAATCAATTCTTTGCAAATAATATAAGATTATTTTTATGTCATTTTATTGATGTGAGTTTGATGAATGTGGTGATGGTGATGGAGTTACAAAGTGTATTCAATTTCCGATGATCAACAAAAGTATAATTTTGTGATTAATAATAAATTATTCATAACAATTAGCATATTTAATGCATATAAAAGCATTTTATTTATTGTTATTATAATTAAGTGTTTATTTTTGTTAAGCAAAATGTCACTTATATCATAATTTTTCACAATGCTTGTTTTTAATGAAATTAAAATTCATTTTCTAATATCATTAATATGTGAAATAGATAAATATTAATAACAAAATTGATGTTTATGTTTTATTTTGTAAAGGGAGATTACAGTACTTCTCAACCTATTCCAAATTAGGATAAACTTTGATGAAATTTTTTTAAAAACTTAATGTATATGCCAAATTTTAGATATTTGTTCAAAATGAATTCAATAATTGATATTTAAAAAAATATTTTAAAATCGATTAAAATACTTATAAAAATTAGAAATTTTAAACGTTATTATAAACTTGATTGATGTATACATATGCCAATACATTGATCGTTTTGCAAGAATCTATTAAAAAATTTATTTTTTATTTTATTTTTTTTATATTATTAAGTATAATATTGGATATTTGGATTCTTTTTAATTAGTATTAAGTATAATATTTGGATATTTGGAATTCTTAAAAAATAATTATTAATTATAAAAAATAATTATTAATTATATTAAAAATAACAATTTTGTTTCTAAATATTATACATCCCACACGAGCCCAAGAAGACGACTAGTTTATTGTGTAAAATTAAAGTGTTGAATCAATACAATTAGAGATTCAATGAATCGCCTTAAAAATTTTAAAAAAAACATTAAATTTTTTTTTAAAATTAAGTTTAGATGTCAATCCACGCTCATATAAATTAGTAAGTTGGCACCCAAAGAAAAATGTTAGGGACATTTCCAATGACTAACCCAACAATTAATACCGCTATGAAATGGCATTACGGATATATTAGGGTCTTTTTCAATTTCTAGATTTGCATGTTTATAGGTTGCAATCGTATCTATTAGGGTTTGAGACAAACAAATCTCATTTATATGATTTTTCTTTATTGTTCTTTTGTAATTTCTTTAATATGATGTTCGTTTAAAGATTTCGCAATTAAGAATTTTTATTATCAAGTTAATTGATATGATATTGATTGATATATTTATAAACTTTTTGTCAAAAATAGTATCCAGACTTTTTACTTTTCATATTTTCTATATTTTGTAAAATAATATTGTTGTTCATTTTACAAGATATTTATGATTATCTTACGATAATTAGACATTTTTTAGAATAATTTCTTGGAATTCTATTTTTCTTGGAAAATATTTTTCCATAAAAAATTGAATTTCGGTGAATAAATTCATCTTATAATTTCTTGGAATTCTATTTTTCTTGGAAAATATTTTTCCATAAAAAATTGAATTTCGGTGAATAAATTCATCTTACCTCATAATAGTTGAAATATTCAGTTTTATTTAATTTATTAGATTTAAAAAAAAAATACTAAATTAAACTATTAGGATAAACTTACAAATTTTGCAGTATGAAGGATCTTACATGCATGAGTTCGCGCCTACGAGATTATCAAATCTATATTGGTTGGCCTTTTTGCCTATTGTAATATGAGTCATTTTTAAGAAAAATGACTTTCCATTTTTTAAAGTCTAAAACATTTTTCCAATATTAATAAATTTATTATAACCTTATAAATTTTTAATTTATTAATCATTGGTAGTTATTACTACCACTTATCATTCACCACCATCGGTTACCATCAGCCACCATCATCGGTCATTGACAACTTTCATAATTTAATTTTTTTTTTGCATTCTTCTCATATTTAACAATAAAATTTTCAAAATAGAAAATTTATATTATTATTAATATTTTTATGATCTTACGAGTTAAAATTTTAATATTTTTAACTAATTTTTAATATTGCAAATAACCAACAAAAAAAATTATTTAAAAAATATTTTTCAACTAAAAACATCATGTCTTCCGAAAATAAACATAACCTACGTGGTTATGTCTTTTCTTTCGCCTTCCATGTAAAATAGTAAATATAACATTGTAAAGATAGGCCAACTTAGCTGAAAAGAAATGACGAAAGGAACAATCGAACATATACATAAAGAAAGGGACGTGGGAGAGGTACATGCATATGTCCAGTTTTCTTTCTCCCTCCATGTATAAGTATAAAATATTTCCTTTAATTATCTTTTTTGACTATTTCAATAATGGTGTTCATAGTGTGTATTTCTTCCCCCCCTTTTCCTCCCTCTTTCCATGTATAAATATAAGATATTCACGATAATTTTCTTTTTTGCCTATCAAAATTATGAGACGGAGAAGTATATATATTAATTATTAATTTGTTAAAGTAAATTTATATAATAAGTTACTTATCATACATTATATCATTTCGAATGATAGTTTTAATGTGAATAATAGGCAGTGATTACATTTTGATTATCTAAACACTAACGACATTAACGGTGGATTTTTTGATTTTTGAGCAACTAAATAGATTAATTAATAATATAATATTTTTGATGCTTGAAATATTTCTTGAAATTTTCAAATTATGACCAATTGGATTACATAATTATCTAATTTTCAAATTAATAATATAGTTACATAATTATCTAATTATGATTCAAAAAAATTATTAAATTATGATTGTGAGGTCAATTTTCCTCGGTATTTATCTATGATTTTTATACTTATCTGCAATTGGATTCAATTGAAGTAGCTTTTACAAGTGAGCAATAAACTGTAATTATACAAATCAAGCGAATTGCCAAACACGGCACATGAGATCCGCTCACACACGCACTAAAATGTCTCTCTTTTTTGCTTTACTCTCGCATCGCCTCACTTCTCTCTCTTTCCCACTTCCACTCACTCACTTTCCTAAAAGCTTCTTTGAAGTTTTGAAGTTTCTGTGATGATGACTCTCAAATCCCAATGGTTTAGCTTTATATATACTCTTCTACGTTTTATAAAACTCGCCCTTCTACGGCTTCTTGTATCATTTGAATTTTCCGTTATGAGTTCTTCTTTCTCTTCTTCTGCTTCAACCTCTTTCCAGCTAACCCCTTCTTTTATCATTAATGCCAATGCTGCTTCTTCTCCATCCTCAACCTCTTCCCAGCAAATCCCTTCCGAGCTAAATAACTATGAAGTTTTTATTAATTTCAGAGGCAAAGACATCCGCGATGGTTTTCTCTCCTTTCTCTTTGAATCTTTGAAGGAAAAAGGGATGGTTTTCTCTCCTTTCTCTTTGAATCTTTGAAGGAAAAAGGAATCAATACCTTCAAGGATGAAAACCTTAAAAAAGGAACTGAAATAACACCAGCCCTCAAGCAAACAATTCAAGAATCATGTATTTCAATTGTCATATTCTCCAAAAACTACGCAGATTCTCCATGGTGCTTGGACGAACTTGTTGTGATAAATAAATGCAGAGAAAAGGGAGGACAAATGGTTTTACCAGTTTTTTACCGTGTAGATCCAACTGATGTTCAAGAGCTGAGAGGTACCGTGTAGATCCAACTGATGTTCAAGAGCTGAGAGGGCCTTTTACAAAGGCACTTGCTAGGCTTTTACAAGATCACAGCGATAGATCACACAACCTGGGTGGATGGTGCCATGCTCTGAAGACAATCAGCAACGATTTAGGTGCTTTTGTTTCCAATGAGATCAAGTAAAGTTATTATTTTCCCTTGTTTGCTTTTACATGTCTTTTTTATTTTCTATTTATTAATAATAGATCAATCTTGCGCACACAACAGATGGCTTTTAGTTACGATATCCACTCCTTTGGACTGTTACTTATTTTCACTTTCTTGTTAAAATTCTGTTTCATTTTCTCCTATTCCTTCAATCATGGGATTGACCCACCCAGTTTTTCCAAACACTTAATTGATTCTATTCTAGAAAATATATAAGTTCGGGCTTACTTTTTGTTGTTCATATGTGATCAGGAATGACCAAATGCTAGTTCAAAGAATCGTCAATCGTGTTTCAGAGATATTAAGTCATATGCCATCAAATGCTAGTTACCATGAGAAGTTAGTTGGAATTGATTCGCGTGTCGAGGAAGTAATATCGTTATTGCGTGTCGAGGAAGTAATATCGTTATTGGATATTGATGTAAATGACAGAAATTGGATAATAGGAATTTGGGGAATGGCTGGTATTGGAAAGACAACGCTTGCTGGTATAGTGTTTTCCCAAATCAAGGCTAAATTTGATGCCCACTGCTTTGTTTCAAATGTCAAGCAACAGATAAAGAAGGAAACAGCAATTGTTTTACGGGATAGAATCATTCGTTCACTAACGGGAGAGGAAAGTTTGAAAATGGGCTCACAACTTTTAGTTTTAGATGACTGGATTCTGAGGAGGCTTCAGCGTAAGAAAGTTCTTATTGTTTTTGATGACGTTGATGATTCACACGATTTAGATCTTCTAGCTGGAAACTGTAGTTTGTACCGTAAGGGAAGTAGAATCATTATAACTAGTACAGATAGACAAGTACTTAAAAATTAACTAGTACAGATAGACAAGTACTTAAAAATGTTTGTCATGAAGAACATATTTGTCAGGTTAAGGGATTAATTTATGAGGAAGCTCTTCAACTATTTAGCTTGCACGCTTTCCATCAAAATGAACCGAAAGAAGGATATGTTCTGCTATCCCAGCAGGTGAGAAGTTATGCTCAAGGCAATCCCTTAGCACTAAAAGTTTTAGGCTCCAGCCTTTATGGCAAGGAGAAAGAGTACTGGGAGAGCCAATTGCTCAAATTGAAAAGCATCCCGAACAAGAGAATTCAAGATGTTCTAAAAATAAGTTATGATGGGTTAGATAGAAATGAGCAGAGCATATTTCTGGATATCGCATGTTTCTTTGGAAAAGGAGATACACATGAAAATAAGCTTGAAAAAATAATAGAAAGTTTTTAATAGAAAGTTTTTGGTTTCCTTTGGCGAGATGTGGAATAAGGAGTCTCATTGATAAATCTCTCATCACCCATCGGAAGCCTATGAATCGTAAAGTAGAAATGCCATAGACTTAACTACAGACAAATGGGAAAGAGATTGTGAAATGAGGAATGCAAACAGCCTGGAGACGTAGTAGGTTGTGGAATCCCTGACTGGAGGACGTAGTAGGTTGTGGAATCCTGACGACATTTCTCATGTATTCAAAACAAATACAGTAAGGAGCAAAATTTGCTACATTTTTCTTTTGTTTTTCTTTTTATGTTTGAACAATTGAAATTTGAACTTACTGCTCCACGTAATTAGTTAATTAGATGATTCCAATAGCTTTTATTTTTAAATACTTTATTCTCAATTAACTATTTTCATTTGTTGTTCATTTATCAGGGAACTGATAAGATTGAGTGCATTTCGCTTAAGATGTTCATTATTGAAGCTTTTGAGATAAGTTCCAAAACTTTCATGAAGATGCCTAATCTTAGATTCCTCATAATCTTTGTTTCCAAAATGATTTTGCCTGATGGCCTTGATTTTCTTCCAGAAGAGCTAAGATATTTAGATTGGTACAGTTACCCTTTGAAATCATTGCCGTTGAAGTTTTGCCCAAATAATCTTGTGCAACTTCACTTGCATGACTCAAACAACTGTGGGATGGAGATAATAATAAGGTATATTTCCTAAACTTTAATATTTGTATTTGGTGTAAATGAACTTATAACATAATAAGATGTAGTTTGATAATAACTTATACTTAGCTGAGTTAAAATTTATAAAAATGGTTTGATTAGTCAAATTGGTCTTAATATAACTTGTATAGTTGAGTTAAATTTTATAGTTGAGTTAAAATGGAGATAATAACTTGTATTTAGTTGAGTGGCGGATCCAATACTTTGTTTACAAATTAATTTTAATATGGTTAAAGGTCAAATCATTGAATTAAATGAGACTTTTTAATTTCGTGAAGTAATAAAAATTTTGATCAATCAATATATGAAGAAATTCAAATGTTAAGAATATACTTTTGGCTTATTTAAACAGCAGATGATGTGTTAATTTTTACCCTTATAGCAACAACAAATAGAAACTACCTAGACATAAGTTTATTAATCTCCATACTTTAAATTGGCTTATTTTAATTTTGGTATGTGTACAGAAAATTATATTAAACTACAATTTTTAGAATTTATTTTTTGTATTATTTGATTAAATAAACAAATAAGTAAATAACTACTTTTGAATTGTAAAATAATTATTTTGTGAGTACTTTGGCTTAATGTTTAGTTATTGTATTTTTAAAATAAATTGAAAAATAAAAATATAAATTAATGCTTTATGTTTTAATTATATTTTTTTTCTTTTTTTTTTTCCACATTGAATCATTTTCCTCAAAAATAATTCAGATAAAATTTTTGAGACATGGGGGCCATGGCCGCTAGCCTGCCAACCATTGGTGTAGTTGATTAATATGTATATATATTATATATTTTTTTTGGATAAATACAAATAGTATATAAAGCAATGAAGATTTTAATATTATTCAATATATCTGTCTCTTATTTATTACAGCCTTTTAGAAAGTTTGAAAGTTATGGACCTGCCCAGCTCTCTGTCCTTTATTGAGAATTTCGGACCCATTTCAAGCCCCAAACTGAGATGTTATGTTGTCAAGAATGTAGACGTTTCATTGACTTACCCTTCAATCTCTTTAAATATTCAACCAAGGCTTTGTTCGACTAGACTTATTAGTGTACGTAGTAAGTATTGGCGCAGTTTGCCAAGTTCCTTCAGTTAGAATAATCTTCTTGATTCTTGATCTTCGAGGTTGCAGGTAAACTTGAAGAATGTCCAGAGCTTCCTGGTTGCAGTAAACTTGAAGAATGTCCAGAGCTTCCTTGCAATTTATTGGATTTAAATTTAAGTGAAACTGCAATAAAACAATTGCCTTCATCAATTGGACATTGCTCTCAACTTGTTGCATTACCGTTGAGCGGGTGTACAAAGCTTGAAAATCTTCCAGATTGCATTGGCCAGTTAAAATCTCTGAAGCAACTTGACGCAAGAAGAAGTGGCATAAAAACATTACCATCCTCTTTCAATCAATTGAGCCGATTGGAATGTTTATATTTTGAGGGATGTAAAGGTTTGACGGTATGGTCTTCTTCGTTGTCCAGTTTGAATAGCCTACGGAAGCTTTATCTGGGTAACTGTGGTATATCAGAAATTCCAGAGAGTATTGGATCATTAGTTTCATTAAAAGAGTTATATTTGGACAGAAACGGTTTCGAAAGCATTCCTGCAAGCATCAAACAACTTTCTAACTTGGAGATTCTTAAGTTGGATGATTGTAAGAGGCTTAGATATTTGCCAGAGCTTCCATGCACAAAGTTATTTTCTGCATCAAATTGCACCTCTTTAGAATTTGTATCATTTTCGTCCTTTTGCAAAGCAGAAACAGAAGATGACCGGTACGCTTTTCTTAATTTTGGTAACTGCATCAAATTGGGTGATACTGTACGTCTTCAAATTACGGAAGCCTTGTTCTCAGCACAGCAAGGCCGGGACGTACGTTTCCTTTCTCTAATATCAAATTAATAAAGAAGTCCTTATTAAAAAAAAATGTTAATTAATTTTTTCGATGATAAACTTCAATGGAATATTTTCCTAACAAATGTTAATTAATTTTTTCGATGATAAACTTCAATGGAATATTTTCCTAACTTGTGAATTTCATAATTAATTTATGCTTTGACAAGGGAAGAGAGATAAACATAATAAAATTAAACTATATATCATCTTACCATGAAAAAAAATATAACACGAAAAGATTTCAATAGTTATTATGGGCCTTTTTTAAAATTTGTGTTTAAATTATCCATTTAATCTTTCATCAGCTATTTAAATTTAGCTCTATCGTTAATTAATTATGATATTCTTTAACAAAATATATTTTCATGGAGCAGGACCATAATTTATGTTTCCCTGAGGATTTTCATGGAGCAGGACCATAATTTATGTTTCCCTGAGGTGGAAGTGCCGCAAAGTATGAAATATCGAACAAGTGGGTCTCATCTTTCAATTCAGTTGGAAAGGCCTGATCGTATGTTGGGTTTTTATATTGCAGCTGTTTTTGATTTCCAATATGTTGATTTTGATGTATATGACATTACTATTGTTGGGAACTTCCAAGATAAAGCTGGAAAAATGTATGACTGTAACTTTTTTTTTCGAAATTTGGGGCTTCTTAAGTTAGATTCAAAACATGTGTTCCTTAGGTATATGTCTTCGAAGCATGAAATAAATTTCATTCGAGTCTCATTCCGGCTTGATCATATATCTGTAAAGCGTGGCGGAAAAGCTGAATTCATTAGTAGGAGGGTGATCAATTGTGGCATTCATCCTATATATCGGGAAGAATATAGGAAAGCGGAAAGAAGGAATGAAAGAAGGAAAGAACTGGACAAGGATATAGTACAGGCGGCAAACACTGAATTATGGGAGAAGAATTCAAGACAAAGACTCTATTAATGTCAATTAGTATGGCAAATGGAAATTGACAATAGGTAAAGGAATTTCGTGTGTTTTACTTTGGGATTTTAGTTGACTTCAGTTTTCAATTCACACAATCACAGTAGTGGTGAGAATCAGCTTATTATTGGCTGTTACTTCAACAGTAGTGGTGAGAAAATCAGCTTATTATTGGCTTGTTACTTTGGGTATTACGCACTCGTGAATAGCTAATCTATTTTCTAATTTCTGCAGTGATACGTATCGGCATTTGTTAATCTTAAGGCTTTGATTGCAGTTGCGTTGGGAAAGATCTTTAATACATGTTTGCAGTTATGTCCTAATGCTTGTCATTCATTTGCTAGTGTTGAGTTTTGGAGGGAAGTATAGATTGAGATCGGTTTAAAAAAATGTTTGGCTTCATTTCAATTGATCTTTAAAACAAATTTTGTAAAGATTGGTTCAATTATATCAAAGCAACTCATATAAATATTTTTCTTTGGATCTTTGATACTATAGAGAAATGCAGGCCTATCAAAAAAAAAAAAAAAAAAGAAAGAAGCTATTAGGTCCTATTGTTTTTCCTTATTTTATTTTATTTATATTAATACGTAGTTTTCTTAATCAATATTGGATTCTCGCGATATATAAGTTTTAATGAGAGTATATTATATATAATAATCCAAAATTATTTTATACAGGCAGATAAGGCACTTCTTTTAATTCATTAACATATAATACTATTAATTTTATAATCAGTAACTTTTAATGAAATATCAATTAATTTAATTAGAAAATATCCTACATTTAAAAATTATTTCTTTGAAATAATATAGAATCCTAGATATATAAATACCAAAAATAAGAAATGTTTAATTTCTTTGATAATTAAACTAATACAATTAGATTCGCCATTTTAAAAATCTTTGTCAATGCATAAAATGTAATTGTACTACTGCTACTAAGACTTAACACAAGCTTATGCCCTGTCAGAGCCGGGTGATTAAGGTTGGAAGGTAACAATATAATTGACTTTCCTAAAAAAAAAAAAAAAAAAAAGAAAGAAAGCTATTAAGTCTATTGTTTTTCTTTTTATTTATTTATTTATTACGAGTTTCAATACATGGAATAATATTATGAACTATATAATATAATACCCTCTTTAATTCATTAAATTATAAATAATTTTATAATCATTAACTTTTTATGAAATTCAATTAATTTTTAAAAATATTCCTACATTTAAAAATATTTCTTTGATAATATAGAATCTAGATATATAATTAACCAAAAATAAGAATGTTAATTCTTTATAATTAAACTAATACAATTAGATGCCATTTAAAAATCTTTTCATCATAAATGTATTGTATCTACTGCTACTGACTTAACACAAGCTTTCCTGTCAAGACGGGTGATTAAGGTTGGAAGGTAACAATTAATTTGACTTTCCTATAATATATTTTTTTAAAATTCTATTTTTATCTAGCAATCCGTTGAATTTCAGACAATCTGTTACATCAATTCCTTCAAGAGATAATTGAACCAATTTACAAAATTTAATGTGACACATCATCAAACACTTTGTGGGGTGGAGCTAGACTTCAAGTGTTGGGATTAAGGATCAATATAAATATTTATGTGAGTTGCTGATATAATTGAACCAATTTACAAAATTTATTTTAAAGATCAATTGAAATGAAGCAAACATCTTTTAAAAATCTAGGTTATTGAATCATGTACATCATTACATACTTCCCTCCTAAATTCCAAACTAGCAAATAATTAAAATTTGAATTGAAAGTCGAAGTTTAGTTAATCAAAATCCCAAAGAGAAACACACGAAACTAGAAATTCTTTTAATTAAAGTCTTGGTCTTGAATTCTTATCCCAAAATTCAGCATTCGCCGACCGTTTCCTTGTCTAGGGCTCTCATTACCATCCTTATTGGTTTGAATCATTTCTTGTTTTGGTGTCCTATATTGTTCCCGAGACACAGGACGAACACTACACTTAATCATCGGTTCCCTATTATAACTAGGTTCATAACTCTTACTAATAGCAAAGTGGAATGAGGCCCGAGTGAAATGCTCTTCACAGTCGAAAGATTTGTACCAAAGGAGCACATGTTTTGAATCTAACTTAGGCATCAAAAGCATACCTGAAAAAATAAAAGTTAAGGATCTTTCCGGATTTATCTTCGAATTCGGCAAAACATTTAATGGAACCTTGATCATGAGAATGAAGAAGTTGGGAAGCAATAACAGTGCAAAAGCAGAAACCCAAAATATCATCATCCCTTTCCAGCTCGAAAGAAAGATGAGATCCACTTGTCTGATATCTCATACTTTGCAGCACTTCCATCCCAGGGATACATATTCTGAACACTTGCCCCATGAAAATAAAATTGGGAAAAATATAGTCAAATTAACACTTAAGTTAGGACTCTCAAAAGCTGTTTCAAACTAGGGGAACATTAGAGAAAGGAACCATACCTCTATGTTTGAATTTGGTGACAATACGGTTTCTATAATTTCAATACCCACATTTTCACCCAATTTGATGCAATTAATAACGTTAAGACATAAATACAGAAATCCATCTTCATCTTCATGGGAAAAGAATGGACATGATACGAATTCTAAAGAGATGCAATTTGATGCAGAAAACGAAAATAAGATTGGAATCTCTGGCAAATATCTAAGCCTCATACAATCATCCAAGCTAAGGATAACCAAGTTAGAAAGTTGTTTGATGCTTGCAGGAATGCTTTCAAAACCGTTTCCATCCAAATATAACTCTTTTAATGAAATTAATGATCCAATGCTCTCAGGAATTTCTGATACACCACAATCAACTAGAATAAGTTCCTGGAACAGATTCAAACCATGCAATGAAGATGGTGATGTTTGAATGCCACATCTTGTTGCAATGAGTTCCCCCAGAGAGTTTCAAACAACCACTAACATCAATGCTGTGAAGAGATTGTAACTGGCCAATGCAGTGTGGAAGATTTTCACGCTCTGTACTATTAGCAGAATATCCGTGTATCTCTATCTCTTAATCTTTGACTTTGTATTAGTTTGTTTTGATTATGTTGAGATTTAGTTTGTTATTGATATTCCTACTGCTAAGGAATTCAGTCTGTTGCTTTGTATTTAAATGTTGATTCATCTGGAATAAGTGATACAACTTCATTCTTCACTTTCATATTTATTATGGTATCAGAGCTCTCATAACTCAAAAGAGTTGATCCAATTTTTTTTTTCTCCCAACAAGTCAGCCCATGGCAACCATTCTAAATGCTGATAACATTACTCCCAACCCCACCCATCAAATAATTCAGTTCAACCCTTCTGCTCAATTGCCTATTAAGCTCAAAGGCAGTTCCAATTTTTCCACTTGGAAAACTCAATTAACTCTTCTTCTTGATGGCCATGACCTTGCTGGTCATCTTGATAACACCACACCCCCTCCACCAAAAACAATTACTCAAGACAACATCACTCGAGACAACCCACAGTATCGTTTATGGCTACGCCAAGACCGCCTCATTCATCAAGCAATGATGGCTTCTGTTGATCAAACCATTGCCTCCATCGTAGGTAATGCATCCAACTCTGCTCAAGCATGGACAACTCTTCATAACACCTATGCCAACAAAAGTCACACTCGTATTTATAGTCTACGCGATCAACTCAGTCGCATCCACAAAGATGACAAAACCATCACAGAATACCTTCACAAAATTCGTGAAATTGCTGATGAGCTTGCTACTGCAGGTTCTCCAATGGTGGAAGCAGAGTTTACTGTTAAAATTCTCAACGGTCTAAATTCAGATTATCGCGAAGTACCAGCAGCAATCCGCAACCGGAGTATCCCGATTGAGTACCCGAAACTTTGTGAAAAACTTCTAGATCATGAACTCTGTCTTCAAAATGAAGCAAAATCAGTCTCTTCCGCTATACCAACTGTTGTCGCTAATCAAGCTATGTCCAATGCTTGCAACAATCGATCTAATCGACGCTTTCCCAATAACAACTAGCACTTCTCCAACTTTCAACCAACCCAGTGGCGCCCAAACAGGACCAATCAACAAACATCATGGCGTCTACCATCCTCTAGTACATCCTACAATGGAGTCACTTGTCAATTATGCAATAAATATGGTCACACTGCCTTTGTGTGTCGCAGCAGATCCCATGATCATCTTCAGGCTAGAACAAATTTTGTTTCGACTTCTCAAATGTCAGACAAACCATGGGTTCTTGACTCCGGTGCCTCTCATCATATAACTGCTGATCCTCACAACATGCCTGAATACACGGGTTTTCAAGAAGTGACCATGGGTGATGGTAACAAAATCCCAATTACACACACTGGTTCTACTCATTTGTATGCATCTAACAAAGCTTTCCGGCTGTCTAATACTATTTGTGCTCCCCAAATTAAAACCAATTTAATTTCTGTTAACAAGTTTTGTCACGATAATATGATCTCAGTTGAATTCTTTCCTTTTGATTTTGTTGTCAAGGATCTTGCAACCAGAAAGGTACTGGTACGCGGCCGGAGTAACAATGGATTATACGAGTGGCCACAAACACCCTTGTCCTCTCCTTCACCTGCAGCTCACACAGCAACCTCAACAAGTTCTATTGAAACCTGGCATTGTAGACTTGGTCATCCCCATGAGAAAGTTCTACATCTTATTTTAAATAAATGTTCCATTTCTGTTTCAACTCCAAACAAATTATCCTTTTGTAATTCACGTCATTCTAATAAAGCTCATAAGCAACCATTTTCTCAACTTACTCTGCAAGCTCAAAGCCTCTCCAAATTATTTTTAGTGATTTATGGGGTCCATCTCCCACTCTTTCTGTTGACAAAAAATTATATTATTGCATCTTTGTTGATCAATATACAAAATATATCTGGCTTTACACGTTGAAACACAAAACTGAGGTCACATCAATTTTTCAAAAATTTCACCCTTTAGTTGAAAAACACTTTAATTCTAATATTCTCTCATTTTACACTGATGGTGGTGGTGAATTTCAGGGTCTAGATTCCTACCTTAGTCTAAATGGAATAGAACATTTGAAAACTCCTCCTTATACTCCACAACGTGTTGCTATTGCCGAACGTCGACACTGCCACA